AACAATAAAATTTTAGCAATGTCACACAATATACATGTCCAAATAAGCTGGATCAAATCATTTTTGGAATACCTTTGGGGACTTTTTATGATCCGTGAAAAAAGCCATGTTAATTACTTTTATAGTTTTTTATCTGAAATAGTATACTCAAATTGATTATTTGTCTATTTCACCAGACTTGGCTCCAGATCAGTTTTATTTATTTTCAGTAATTAGATTCGCCCCCAAATATCCTCAGGGATACCCCTGAGAATGTTTTAAAAAATATGCTTTCCATTCTAAAGGCAACTCAAACACACAAGTGGAAAAAGAAAAGAAAAACAAAGAAAGTTGGCATATTCATTAGTTTTTACCATAGCAACAAACAGCCCTACGGTTTTATTTATTTCTCATTCATGTAGGACTCAGGCTGCAGACTTGGTGTCGTCCTGCTTGGCTCCACCTGACTCTGCATCAATGATCAGTTTGGCTCCACATTGTCTTCTCATTCCGGGACTAAAGGAACAGCCCCCTACTGGGACATGCTGTTCTCTGGAAGAAAGCAGAGGCAAAATTAAATCAAACAAGAAGCCAAACCAAATCACAATAGCCCATTTAAAGCATCTCCATGGACATGAGCATAGGTTACATCCAGTCACATTCTGTTGACAAAAGTAAATCACATGGCCAACCTGACAAGGGATAAAGAAGTAAATTCTACCTATAGGAAGGTACCCAAAGTCACATAATAAAGAGTCTAGATGTATAATCTACAGAGGAGAAAACATGGAGCTGAGAACAATAATGAAATCTACCACACAGTGTGGGAACAGTGGGAACATCATGAATATATAACATTCCAAAGAGACTACTTTGGAAGTTATAAGAATGATTACTCTCATAAATTATAGTAGGGGTAAAAACCCAAGTCAGTTTCATGCCTTATGGGTTCCTTTCATATATTTAAGTGTTCTAAAAATGTATACAACATCTAAGGCATGGACTTAATCATTTTCTGAACTTGTTTCCTTTGTGAAGAGTTTTATATTTCAATTGTGACAAAGTAGTTTACTGATAAACACATATTGCAGAATACTGATTGGAATTTGCACATCTGCAGACTTGCCCCATGTAATGCCTTTTATATGTGAAATTCAACAGTTAGTGCTGCTATTTCTGAAAGAGCAAATCAATATTCTAAAAATCGGCTAGTCAGAAAAAATAATTATCTTTGCAAGGAGTGTATAATGTATCAAGTTCCTCAGCTGAGGAAAATATTAAATAAATCTCTTAGGCACTTAGAGGTAAAATAAAGTTGGTAATGCTAAATAGGCACACTTTTCATCTCTCAATCGCACTATTAAAATTTTAAAATTAATTATATTCTAGGCATTGAATTGTATTCTTTATTTGTCCCAGAGTTCTAAATACACTTGAAAAAGTCATATTCTGGAATCCACCTGTGCTCACTAAAAATTGGTGTCCTGATTCACGTACCTCAGCAAAAAACAAAGCAGCAAAAAATACAAGATGAAATGGGAAGAGGAAGCCTGGAGTGATATGAAATCACTCATTTTCATCGTGTAGCTCAATTTTTTTCTATTACGGGATGTTGTTTCCCCTCTTGACCCACAGAAAATACACAAGCGAGTAAAATTCTAGGACAGTCCTTAAGATGTGGACTATCCTACTGTTGAAAACTAAAATTAACACTTGGATTGAAGGAGTTTATGAGGCCAAGAGGGCTGGAATGTTGTGAATACTCTGTTCTGTCCTGCTGGTAGACTGATGGAATATGAACTATTTGTACTTTCCCTGTGGCTCTAGCAAGTCCCTCATCACGTGATCAGGAGCAGCTACATACATGAAGAAATGTCAAAAAGTTCTAATTTTCAAGGAAAATCTCCACTCTATGCCAGCTGAGATTGGTGACTATCTCTGTATCTCTGAGTCCACTACAATTCACTTAACTTAAATACCTCCATGACATCCTATAAAAAATGTGCTCAGTCACCTGGGTTATGTTTCTTTCCCTCTTACTTACTGCCTACCATACTTAATACTGTCAAAATCTTCTTTAATCATCTAGATTTTATGCGCTCATCCTCATTTTAATGTTGTCATAACTTACACTTTATAAAGCATTAAGGCATGTGTACAAAATAATATCAAATTGAATCACAGCTGGATATTGCAGACATTAGAGTAAACAGGTCTCTGGCATTTTAAGATTTGCCTCACAGTTTGTGCAAAATCACATTGCCTACATCTTAAAAACCCAGTCTTTTATTAGCAACTCTTACCTGATACTTCCCAGTCCCCTGACCTTACACTTTTTATTTTTAAACACTTTTGGCATAAGCAATATTGCCTCTCCCAGGTTACTGCAGCTTTTGAAAAGGATTTCTGTAATCCTCAAAAGAGAATGACTATTTTCTACAATCTTATAGACAAAGGCAATGGATAAAAACCACACTATTCAGGATTTACTGCTTATAGTGAAGGTCACTGACACTGAACCGAGTAACCTTTCACCCAAAACTTTGTAGTTCAACCTTTTCCATGGTTGTTTAAAATTAAGGGGCATGTTAATTTCTCTTGTCATTTAAAGTGTCTGTGATGAAAAATACAGGAATAGAATAATTGACCTCTCATGTTCATCTTTAGCACTCTATGATTTCAATTCTGCAGTGTTAAAAAATAAACTCTTTACACGTCGAGTAAAGTCATAGATCTTGAACCAGACCTCACGAGGAGAACATGTAATCTTGGCAGGGATGCTGGGTTTGAATGAGGTATATTCTCTAAGGAAAATAATCACAACAGAATACACTGAATTTTCTTAGCTTTTATGTTTTTTAGGATGTGGCCACATGTTCTCTCTGTGACTCTCCCCTGACCGATTTTATTTTGAGCAAGGAATCAAACTGAGTTTTTCCTCCTTGAACCAGAGAGAAGCAAATACATTGCTCATGAGAGAACAAGTTCATTTCAATAGAATAAGGAATAAAAGGAATATGTACAAATTAACTAAACAATTTTGACTGTCCCTATCACCCCAGTGCTAAAATATATTATTTCTTTAATTATTTTGTTAAAATATTGTTGACTTTATCTGGGCAAAACAACTTTTCTTTTTATCATGTATGTAGCAGTTGGGTAGTCATAGAGTTATATTTATGTACTAGATCAGGTTAAAAAAATACTTCAAAAAAATCCAATATCCCAATATTCAAAGTTTGTGAATGTGCTGACAAATACTGATATGAAATATAGAAATATTCTATCAATCAACTCCCTATTTCAATGAATCCATGTAGACTATAAAATGATACATTACCAGTGTTCCAAGCACTATGAGAATCTGAGTGGTATACAATTCAGCATAAAACATCTTCATGTTTTACATGTGCGTGCTTGCATCTGCAGCTTTGCATTCACATGCATGCAATGTGCATTTTCTTAGAGCTTCCAGGTAATAAATTATGTGATCCATTTATTACTTGTTTTACATTTCAAAATCTCATCATAGGAATGAGTAGGAAAATGTCTCATTGCTACTCTTCTTAAATTGAAAATAACCAAGTTATCAATAGAGGATATTTTACTGGTAATAATACATCTTTAGCCCCTTGAGGGGTGTGTGTGTGTGTGTGTGTGTGTGTGTGTGTGTGTGTGTGTGTATGTTTTAATGCTTTCCAGAAGTAAATAAGAGCTACTATTTCAGATAAACTTTTTATTTCCTCTGAGAAAATAAAAGAAGTACTAGAAGACAAGTTGACTTCTAATAATGACAAAGGAACAGGCCCTCACCTTAAGAAACTGCAGACTCATTCAACTGATTTTTAACTTTAATATGTAGCAACAGAAAACGTTGAAAGAAAATGATTTGTTTGTTGGAGTACCTCTAACATAACACATATTGGATAGAGATGCAAATTTAGGCATGCAGAATAGAACTCATCTATATATTTTTTGGCTGCCGTGTCAATTTTTTTTTTTTAAGTATTTAGTTCTCAGAATTTTCTTTTAGTTCCTTGAACACTAATTATTTTTCAGAGAAGAGGAAAACTAAAGACCAGTTAAGTTTAAAAGATCAATTAGAGAGAAGTTAAGATTTAAATAAATCAGTATTTTTAAAATTCCATTTCAGTGTTTTAAGGATATAATAGAAAGTAAAATTGGCAAACATTTGTTGTTGCTCCATTATCTTGCAAAATATTCTTACTTCGTTATGATTTATGTCTCCTATGTTCATGATAGCAGCAGACTTCCCTGCAGGGACAGAAGCTGACTTGGGAAGGCTGTGAGATACAGATGGACTAATATTTGTGTGCTCAGCACTTTCAAATGCATTGCCTCATTCTATGTTCTATACAGCTCTATAGACCTAGGGTTATTACCTTATTTTAAGATAAATAAGTAAAATCTCAGCCTAATTAAGTAATTAGTTAGTTTGAGAGCCAGGATTTGAGTCCAGATATGCCTGAAAACAAAACAAAACAAAAAAAAACATGTTCTCGTCTTTACAATACCTTCCTGCAGGTAGTCCAGGGGAGGTGCTGGGAAAAAGGCAATACAAGGGTTTGTGACAGTGTGGGGACATTATCACTTGAAGGAAACCAGAAAAAGTTAGGCTTGATGTTTGAGTCACCATATAGTACAGTCACTTTTAAAAACTATTTCTAAACTTCTTTGCACATTTTTTAAGAAGTCAAGAGCATGTTCTTGAGAAAAGTATGTGTTACAGAATTAAGAGGACTGAAAGAAGAAAAGGTGTGTTGTGAATTGAAATGAAGAAAGACAGATCTCTTATTGATTCTTCACTGTTGGAATCTCATTAACTATCAGATGGAACTTGATGACTGTCTATGAATAAACCACATTTTCCCCATTCTAGCCTGTTAAATTGCCCAAAGCCACCAAATACAGATTAGCTTGAAATGCACTTATTGTTCTGGCTGGAGGTGGTTAAAATATCAGCTTTAGATACAAGAATTTTTTTTCTCTCTTTCCTTCAGGCTGCTAAAGGATGCAGAAAATGAAGCTTATTTTAAAAGCTGGTATCAGAAGCTACTAGCCGCTCTCCAATACTGTGCAGGAAAAGCCTTGAGTGATGAGTTTTCCAAGGAGCAGAAACTTATCAAAATTCTGGGAGATATTGGGGAAAAAGTCAAGTCTGCTAGTGACCATCAAAGACAGGTTTGTTGAAATATTAATCTCTAGGTAGTAAACTTTTTTAAACTTTGGTTTAAATTAAGTTTTGATTTCATTGTTTAGAAAGCAAATTCTTTGACTACACTTAGATATAAGATACTTAAATCAATTACTTTAGTCAAGTTTTTTTTTCTACCTACTGTTCTAAAGTTAATGATAATGTATATCACCAGACATGGGTTTTTGTTGTTGTTGTTGTTGTTTTTAATCTAAATAGCCACACAGAGAGAACCTAAAAAGAAAAGACCAACTTAAAGGCAGTTTGACTAAACAGGTCTGATAAAGTAATCGCATTAATATGGCAGCACAGTTCAGACTCTTGGAAAAATACATGAGAAGATGTTTTAGGGCACTTTGTTGTTATTGTTATTCAGCAAAGGACATTTTTCATGCAACAAATAAGATGAATTAAATGAAATAAATCAATGGCAGTAAGAATCGTAATAATTTTTATACTAAGATAAATGGATACTAGTCAAAATACATGCCTCTATCTCAGTGTTTATAATAATAGACCTGGCTATTATTTTTCTTGATCTAATGGAAGAATATTTCCTCTTTTTAATTATCTGCATCACTAGTTCCCTATACTGATATACACCATTAAGTAGTTTTTCTTAAGTTCAACATTCTAGATGCAGGGAGAGAGTGGACCTTCATTTATTGTATAAGAACATTATTCAATAACAATTCAGTACCTACTATGGACTAAAGGGTAAGGAAAGAAAGATGACCAAAACATGAGTTTTGTCCTCAAGGGAACTCAGTTTCTCTCCACTTGTAATCTAAAATCAACAAGTATTTTCAACAAAATGATATAAAAATAGTAGTAGGCAAAGTGTCCCAGAATTCTTTCTCAGCCCAGGATTTTTCTTGCTGGAAGTCACTTCATTTAATAGAAGTGCCAGAAACTGTGCTACTTCACCTTCCTGGGAGAAAATGGAAAATAAAAAGCAAAAGTTTGAAATTTATTTTTAAATGGGAGATACATAAACTCTCAGGGGAGCCTTAAGGCATATAACATGATAAGCAATGTGAAAAATAGTTCTATGATTTTTTAAATATTACTACAAGTTCATTAATTATTTTCTAATGGTGGAAAGTTGATAGCAAGTAAAATAAATTGATTTAAAATTTACAGAAGTTAGTGTGAAGGTTTGGTCTTTATCTGTTGTTTTAAAATTCCTCGCATGTTTAAGATGTACATTGTAGTTGAATAATTCTGGCGCCTTTTTTGATCGTTTCTTCAAGTACCAGAGTGATACTGACATTATTCACTCAGGTAAATATATTTATCTTGCCTTGAGTGACTGCTTTTGTTAAACATCTCTTCACATAGGAAAATAGGAAGAGGAGAAGCAAGAGGTGGGAGAGGCGTTTATAGTTTCTCACAATTAAAAAATAATTTCTCACAATTTAAGTTACTAATAGCTATTTTTTCTACTTAAAAAGCACTAATTAAGTGTAACTATATGAACTGGGAAGAGATTTTACTTAAATGAAGGGAGCAGAGATTCTTCTCTATGATGTCCACCAGGCAAACCCAAGTCTAGACGAGGCAAAGAAGAACAACCACATACAGAGGGCTGTAATGCAATTTTTGTCTCTCCACTTTGCTCTTCTGGATTCTGGGAGCTGTGGATTCCATTATTTGCCAATGAGCCAGGAGTAAAAGCTAAGAAACTCTTGAATGCTGAGTGAACATTATTAGTATGATATCCTTGTCTTCCGCATGGGTCTCAAAAAGTTTCTTTTCTTAATTTTTAATTTTAAAATGCACAAATAAATTATTTTCTACTATAGTCACCTCGTGCTAGCAAATGGTAAGTCTTTCTAATTCACTCTACTTTTTTTATACCCATTAACTGTTCCCCTGCCTGCTGCTGCACTGACTACCCTTCCCAGCCTCCATTAACCATCCTCCTACACTCTGTCTCCATGAGTTTAATTGTTTTACATTTTAACTCTCACAGCTGAGTGAGAACATGTGGTATTTGTCTTCCTGTGCCTGGTTTATTGCACATAACATAATGACTTCCAGTTCTATCCATGTTGTTGCAAATGACAAGATCTCATTTTTTTTTTATGGTTGGATAGTACTCCATTGTGTATATGTAAAAGTGGACTAAAAGAAGCTTTTTAAATCTGTTATGTAATGAATTATAATTTCCTATCTGTTTTGTCATATGGTGCACAATTTTAAAGGTGTTGTTTGTGATATCTGACTTGCCACGAGTATAGTTGAGTGGAGGAGGAAGTAAATATCAGAAATATACTCATTGACATCCAGTAAACTATTTGTTCACACGTATTATTTCTGACAGCATTATGTAATTGCTTGTTGTCATTATTGTTACTAATGTACATATTTTTTTTTGTAAAATGCACTCTTTACTATTGAGTGTAAATATTGAATATAAATCTGGAGAGTCATAAACTCAAATTTCAGAAAATTATCAGAATCATGTTAATAATTACTTAAAGCAGGGTTTGCAAACTGGTGACCACACAGGTCAAGTCCAACCCTTTATGTTTTGTTGGACCAGGACAGCGCTTTGTTTGGTTTTTATTTTTAGTTGAGTTTAAGGTTCTTTAGAAAGGGCATGCACGCTTTAGTTCCCTATTTCTCCAACATGCCCTATTGTCTTTAGCCCACTGTCTCCTCATGCCTGACTACATCACCTGCCTGACCCCAGAGTCACCAAAGTGTGCAACCCTGAATTCAAGAATTCATTTAATCAGTAGAAGAAAAGTATAACTTGAAGGAAAAGTCAAGTTCTTTACATTTTCTTAAATCCTTTTGTAATGATTTTTCACAGGAGGTACTGAAGAAAGAAATGGGCAGACTAGAAGAGTTCTTTCAAGATGTAACTACTTGTCATCTTCCTCTGAACCCTGCCCTATGTATAAAAGGGATTGACCATGATGTAAGTCAAAGTCAACTTATTCAGTGGATCAATTGAATATGTCTGTTTTGTATAGTCTAGTTCACTCTGTATGTTCGAAATGGCAAAAATAATTCATAAATTGACATTGCAATTATTTTAAGGAAAAAGTAATTGAATTCATTCACATTGTGTTTTCCCTTTGGTGCACTATGACTGGGATCACATTGGCCTTATCATATGGTTTGTTTATTTGGAAGCAAACTATCCATCAGTTCAGTGAAAAAAAAAATAAAGGTAGATATCACTGGATTAATTTCTTAACTTATTAAAAATGATTGATTTGGTGACCCCATGCAGGCTGGGTATAATTTCATGGTTTATTCAGACTATGTGCATAACCGTACCTGGTACACAAACATTAATTATTAGCTACAACATTTCCATTTGGATTCAATTTAAAATTCATCATATCTAATATGTCAGGGTGTCACATATTTTGTGATTTTACTCACACCTGGAAAACCCATCTTGGTATTGTCAGACTCACAACTTCCTAAGCCTTCTCTTCTTAATCCTCAGTCATGTGGTACCTCCTCAGTCATATGGGAACTTTTCTGACTTAGAATCATTCTTTATTCCTTGTTTCCAATAAGTTTTATTATCCTCCTTCGCAAAAGCCCGAGTGTACAAAGACAATACAGAGAAAATGACTGATATGTTAGAATTAAAAATGAAGGGGCTAAGCTATCATGCATGGACAATAAATGTTACTTAAGTCATAAGATAGTCAAGAAAACAAACCCAATAACTAGAAGAAAAATTAGACCACTATTACTGTGAATGTAAATGTTTTGCTACAAACTTAATACCATCATCTTTGTCCCTTTGCCACTAGTAAGACTTCCTGCAAATTTTTTGATATGCTTCGTAAACATTTCGAAATGTAACAAAATAAGGCTTCAAATTGCTTAAACTGGGATATGTGTAGGCTGAAATCCAAACAATTACTAATTTTCAAAAAATTGTACAACTTTTTAATCATCAGCAGTATTCTTGACTAATGCTGAGCATGTACAGGGGAAATAGGGGAGGGACAGTAGGGGGTGAGGAGTTGGGGAGAGATAGCATGGGGAGAAATGCCAGATGTAGGTGATGGAGAGGAAGGCAGCAGATCACACTGCCATGTGTGTGCCTATGCAACAATCTTGCATTTTCTTCACATGCACCCCAAAACCTAAAATTCAATTAAAAAATAAATTAATTAATTTAAAACATTTAAAAAGGAACTCAGCATTTAAAAGACACTGTACCTTATTGTAGAAAGAACAACAGGGATCACTGAGTCCATGTGTTGTTATTTTGCTTTTGCTTTCTTGGCTTGCTGTTTTAAAGGAGAACAGTGATTTTTTTTTTTTTTTCATTTAAAATTACATATAAGTTTGGCATGTGCAGGTGAGCCAGCTGGGCCAGGGGTCAGCTGCTCAGGAGTCACCACTCCTACTGCTACAGGTGGGACCACACTCCTTCCCTACAGCACCCTGCAGTTAGTTATTGCAAGGCCTTCATTCAAAGTGAATGTCTTCCTGCAGAAGCTGTCCCAAGTAGAGCCACCCTCTGGCTCCATTTGCTCTGACTAGCTCTGCCTCACACAGGATTGGGCGCCTGTGGGTGCAACAATGAACAGGAGGGGCATGGCTAGGTGACACCATCTTGGGAAACATTTTACTCTATTCTCCAGTCCCATTGAACAAATAAGTGAGAAGACTTACAGTTGAAATGAGTATGGAAAAGCTCTCTGTTCCAACAGAAACCAGTCGAAGAATCCATACTAGGGAGAATACTTGTCAGCGTGATGAATGTTGCAAGGCCTTCATTCAAAGTAAATGTCTGATTTGACATCAGAGCCTCCACACTGAGGAGCATATAAAAAACTTATTTAAATGGAGGCAGTTTGGAGAAGACTTGTATCAGGACTCTTAATTTGTTGACTATGAGAAAATTCATACCTTTTGAATGCAGTGTGACAAGACATTTGGTCTGAGTAAATGTCTTATTCTGTGTCAGAGAGTTCAAACAGGCCAAAAGCCCTATAAATATGATAAACATGGAATTCTGTAATCAAAACTCATACCTGTTTATACACCAGAGAATTCACACTATTGAGAAACTCTACAAATGTAATGAGTAGGGGAAAATATTTCACTTAATAGTGCCAGTCTAATGGTACATCAGAGCACCCATTGTGGGGAGAAATCTTATAAATGCAATGATCATGTGAAAGCTATTATATGATTGTGTGAGCCATTATAGCTCATAGGTGATAGCGCACCAGAGAGTTCACACTGGAAAGGAGCACTTTGAATGAAGTGAGCATGGGAAAGCCTTTAATCAGCGTTCTGTCACCATCAGTCAACTACGCTGGGGAGAAGCACTCAGGTCTGGCTCAACTGATTTCTTAAAGTATGGCTCTCAAAGGCAAAGAGCAAGGGGCTCAGGTGTGAGCTGATTCTCAACCTTTACCTCCCACCCTTACCCACAAGTCATTAATCACAGTGAACTATTCCCTATTTCCTTTTAAATCACTAAAGAATGGACCAAGTGGGAGAGTGGGAGGAACTGAATGCAATTCTTCTCCATTACTCAGGGAAAACAAGGACCAGGTATTTCATTTACTTACTGGGGTCATTTTCAACTAATTTTTAGATCTATGTCATTAATGCATGCTTCTCAAGGACAGAGATCACATCTTCCTTTCTTCCAACTTTTCTATCTTATTATACCATATCCATAAAATCCTCCTCTAAGACTCTGATTAATTCTTCTTGTCTGTGGGCATTCCCATCTACTTTATTACTCTAATCTAATAGCTTATCATTTGCCTTTTTCTATCTAGAAAACCTTTAGTTCTGCCTATTTGCTAATCTATGTCTCTCACAATCTTCAAGATCTAATTAACCCCCGAAAATTTTTTTCTTAAAATGTGGCTTCATTCAATGGCAATAAACTCCCTTGTGAATTATTTTCAATTTAATGTGTGTGTGTATATAAATATATATAGGCTTTGTGAAGATAAATATGATGTCTCCTTTTTAGCATATAATGTGCATACTAGTTGTTGAATATATATTTTTGACATGACTCAAATATGTACTGCATGTAAAAACCAAAGTATGAAACAATAAAAGCAGAATATCTCTGGATGATAGTTAAAAAGAAGCTAAGCCTTGCTTTCAGCCTCCCTGAACTTGGGATCGCTCAAAGAGATCCCCACAAAATCAATGAGCAGAATTTAAAAGCCACTGATCTACACTCATTTTTTGCCTAATATAGAATTTGATAATTCAATATCATAATATATGGTCATGTGATCCCTAATTAGCTGATTTTGCAACAGAATTTCATTGTCTAACAGGCATCCTCACCCATAAAACTATAAAACATCTATTCTTATTTGTAGATAAAGCATCTATTCTTATTTATAGATAAAGCATCTATATTTATCTATAAAATGTCTATTTCTTAACTGACCTAGCAAGACAAACCTAACCCAATATCTACTTTCAATTTCTTAAACTCTTGCTTATAATTCTGTAAGCAAGGGTTTGTGTTTAGTTAGATTTTGGGTTAGATTTGTGTTGATAGGCCAGTTAAGAACTAGGTATTTTCTCTCAGTTTCTACTAACTTCAGACTTCTTGCAGATAACATTGTTCAAACTGATCCTTCAACATGCATTGATGTCATATTTTACTAAGTGGATAAATTGAAAGCACCAAGGTTTTTTTCCTTTCTTTATATTAAGTCTTCAATGCCATCATGAACTCTCTCATAGTCTAAAGACATACAGCTTTTCAATGCTCAGTTGTAAGAAAATAAAAGGAAAATAGGCAACAAGGAAAGTAGAGTGAAAATTAGTCAATATCACAAAGCTGAAAATGCAAATGGAAAGTGTAATTACAGGAAATGAGAAGACAAAATATGTGCTGTATTGTTATTTATAAAAACAAGAAAGCGTTCATTAACTAAAAGAGAAAAAGTAAGGATTTTTCAAAGTCCCTGATTAGTGTCAGGCACTGTAAAAGATATTTCATATTCATTAGTTCATTTCTCTATCACAAAAATGTATGAAGGAGGGGTTGCTACCTCCACTTTACAGAAAATGAGTTATAAAGCTTAGATATGAACCGAAGTCTTTCTTAACTCACTATCCATTTGTCTTTAAAGTATTCTGCAATGTAGAAATAATAGAAAGGAAATAAAGTTTTTAAAATAAAATTTAACTTTTATCTACTAACCAGCTAGCATAAGCACAATATTCATGTACTGCTTAGTTCATTTAAACCTTGAACATATCACTACCGTTCATTGAGGAAAAAACATAGTTGAAGACTTACAATCTGTCAAAAAGCTGGTTTCTTGGTTGGTTTCAAAGTAAAGGCTCTAGTTGATAGACTACATTTAAATATATATATGTGTCTGTGTTCCAAAGTATAAAAATTATTCATATGTGTTATATTTGTTCATGCAACAAAGTCTGCAATGGGCTGTGATTTTGGGAAAAATGTTTGCCTTTGGGGGGTTGGGGATTGCTTTATTTTGCTCACTAGTTTTCCCTTTTTCTTTTACTATAGGCATGTTCATATTTTACATCTAATGCTTTGCCATTGAAGATTACTTTCATCAATGCTAATCCAATGGGCAAAAACATTGGCATTATTTTTAAGGTATGGTAGTGCTCTTAAAATATGAATTGATTCATTAGACAGAAATATCAATTTATTACTCACAAAAAGAAATTGTCATAGCTATTTTCCTCCAGCACCAACACAGAGGTTTTTCAGTTTTTTTAGATTCTGCCATTTTACAGGATTATGTATAGTATGTGCCAAACTCCTGATTGGCAATATATCAAACATTACTGGCTCAAAGCCAGGGAACCTTCAGTTCAAAACCCAAGGGAATATATTTCAATAAATGAAGTGATATGATTGCTTTTAAGTGGCACAGAAAGTTGAATGTGTGGTGAGCCCCTAGGAGGAAAGTTTTATTTTGGTCTAGATACTGAATTAGGATCAAAATTAACTGGAACTGAAATGACATAAGTTAATTTAACATCAAGTTCTTCCCTGCCAGCACTTGCTGATTTTAGTAATTTGAGTTATTTTTTTCCTTTTAAATAAAAAGGTAAATAGGGATCATTTCAGCCTTCATCATGAATCCCACTGGAAAAACAGAGAAAAGGTAGTAGCAGGTTTCTAGGCACATAGGAAAATGGGAACAGAAAGGGAAATAAAGGTAAAACATAAGAATATGACAGTCCTCCAGTTCATTTAGTCTATTATTCAGCCAAACCATGCAGCAAGGTCTCAGAATAAATTTTTAGTCAATTCTGTCTATTTTGGAGAATAGTAAGTAGTGTGCCCATACTTGTGCTTTGTCCTGTTACCTCAAGAACTAGTGGTCCCACAACACTGTACTTTTGATGAAGCAGAAAAAAGAAAACACAGAATATTATCATGGCAGGATTTTCCATGTATAATTTAGAAAGTGGTTTTCAAAACCAAAGTTCCTATTTGTTTAAAAGGATAGAACTATTCTTCACCTTTGGACATATTCCATCTCCTTCACAATGCAAGGCTATCACCACTTTATCATTTCTTATTATTATCAAGAATTATTTTCTCAGAAAACCTTTTAACTCTCTTCAAAATAATTTGAGAAATCACTGATTTAAAGTCTAATCAATCATGTGGTTGCTATTTATACTCCTACTCAGGAAGCACTTGATATTCTAACTGCATATCAGTGCATAAATTTATGGCATACCAAATAATGTTTCACTTAGAAAGAGATCTCTCTTGGCTAGGTTTGAAATTTGAATAAACATCCATCCAGCATGTCTTTGCCAGACTTTGAATCTGAGAAATTACACGTGGATAATAAATTGAAAATTATTATCGAGGAACATTTCAAGCAGTGCCTCTAATTTGATGGTTGAAGCTTCTATAATTATTTAAAGGGAAGTTCTCAATTTAAAATTTGTTTATCAGAAACACAAGATACTTTTAGTGCTAACAAAACCATTGAAACCACTGTAAGTCAGGCTACAAATGTATCCAAGGAAAGAAGTGACATGTACTATATTGACTGCTTTTAATGGAATTCAAGGAAAAACCCAGGGTCTATAATTTTGTTTTTAACAGGCTGGAGATGATCTTCGTCAGGATATGCTTGTTCTGCAGATTATTCAAGTGATGGACAATATTTGGCTGCAGGAAGGCTTGGATATGCAAATGATCATTTATAAATGTCTATCCACAGGAAAAGACCAAGGTCAGTACAGATTAGAAAGTGCATTGGCTCACATTACTTATTTCACATATTCACTGGTAATAGACTACAAAATTTTCTCCATCTTTAAACTACAAGCTTGAAAATCCAAAGAACTATACACATTCTTCTTTTTTTTAAAGAATTATTTTCAAAAATGATAAGCCAACGGAATTTATAAAGAAGCATAAAATGCTTTTAGGTATTCATTAGGGCCTTCACAATCCAAATGTTAACCGTTACTTTGTATGAGTCCTTAAGAGTTAGTTCCATTAATAACTTACTGTTATTTTTCTCATTTTCTAATGTAATGATAGGAAAGCCTACTCCTTTTTAAAATAATACAATTATGACTTATTAACACAAAATCTTATTTTACAAAATCAGATTTACAAAATAACACAAAATTATTACAAAATAATCACAAAATCTACATATTTACAACTGCTGAAAGGAGTTCTGGAAATTCTAAACACATTATAAACCTTAATTTAATTTCTAAAAGACTTTTGAGTAGATAAACTATCAACTGTCAATGTTGGCCACACATGTAAATGTTTAACATACATCAGCATTTCTTTTCCTTTATAAAAGTCAAGAAATCAGTGTGGAAATACAATTATACATGTTTTCAATGAAAATAATGTCAATAGACCACACAAATTATTACTAAAACATCAGAAGTAAAGGTTATACTTAATTACAATAATGCCAAAGAAACAATAGTATCAAAGGTATCTTAGAATGCTTTTTTTTTGAGACCGAGTCTCACTATTGTCAGCCCATGCAGGAGTGCAATGGTGCGATCTCAGCTCACTGCAACCTCTTCTTCCCGGGTTCCAGCAATTCTCCTGCCTCAGCCTCCCAAGTAGCTGAGATTATAGGAGCCGGCCAGCATGCCTGGCTAATTTTTGTATTTTTGGTAGAGACGGAGTTTCACGATGTTGGCCAGGCTGGTCTCGAATTCCTGACCTCCAGTGATCCATCCACCTCAGCCTCTCAAAGTCCTGGGATTACAGGCATGAGCCACAGCGTCTGGCCGGTATATTAAAAAAAATTTTTTTTTACATATAACCATTGCCACTTAGAGTTTTATTAAATTAATTGGTATGACTTACAGCAGATACATGTACATAAACAAGGGGATGAAATCATAGAACTGGAGAGAGAATCTAGACCATGTAGTAATTTTTTTTTTTAATTCAAGCAGAGCTACAATTTAAACCTGTCATCATAAAAGAACTGTCATGCCATGGTTCCTCAATTCCTGAGGTTCCACCAGAAAGCTCAACACTTGAGATTTTAAATGCTAAGTATGAAAACACCTCTAAATTCACTTGCAGCTTGATATCTTACAATGATTGCATTACAAGTCATACAAGCCAATCAATTATTTTGATTCTGATAACAGGGTTCCTACTTCCATGCCAAGTGTTCCACTCTGAAAACCTTCTAAATCTCTAGTTCTTGTAACAGTCATTTATCCTTGCTACCATGGGATTGTTATGCCTTGCATTTTACCCTCCTTTTTTTCCGCGTAAGTGACCTAATGCTTTCTTATCCTAAAATGCTGAAAAGGAATAATGCTACATAATCCAAGCTGAGATCTTTGATGTTACATGAATCACCTTTTCTCCAGAAATTGTGTAAATTACTGATCCCAGTGGAATTTTTAAATTTTATTTCATTTCTGTTTATAATCATAGAATGTACCCAAGACTAAATCTTTTCGTTAATAAAATGATTCCGCAAAAATAAAATATAGACTTATCCAAAGTTACAAATGTTACAAGACAAAGAAGTTATTTTTCTCCTCTGTCTACCAACAACAAACTTCAATAGCTGTAAGATTTCAGAGGGCATTATACTGACAAAGTAATTCTTAAAGAAAAATAGAGATCATTAAAACATGTCATTTTTAGAAGATTAGGTTGCATTTTTAATCAGGTTCCAAGGCTTATTGAATACCTGCTCTTCTCAAGAAATGTCACAAAGTGAGATGGGAAATGCATGCTAAAATGAGCTAAATAGAGTTGCCGCCCTTAAGGAGAGTAAACTCCAGGCATGAAGCTTCCATGACTTTACCAACATTATTGTTGATTATCATTCTCATGGTCACTTTGTGTGTAATGTCCTAGAAGTTCTGTAAGAAATTTCCAGGCCAGATAAAAATTCTTCTGGATTTATTTTATCATCAGTTCTCCAGCTTTGCTGAGCATAAAAATTACATAGAGTAATGGAAGGAATAAATACAACCTACCCCAATCCAGGTATACTAAATAAGACTTCCTGGAGGGAGAAGGGCTCAAAGGTTGAATGCAAAAATCTGATAGGGTGGTTCTTATGCATGTTTGTCTGAAAGACACCACCTCGAATATTTTTATCCCTAAGAGGCTTTCTACTTAAAGTGTGAACCACAGACCCACAGCACTGACATCACTTAGGAGCTTGTTAGAAATGCAGAATCTCTGGCTCCACCCCTGCCATACTCAATTAGAACATTTTAACAAAATTCCTAAATGTATTAGTTTGTTTTCACATGGCTATAAAAAAAATACCAAGACTCGGTAATTAATAAAGGAAAGAGGTTTAATTGACTCAGAGTTCCACGTGACTGGGGAGGCGTCAGCAAACTTACATTCATGGCAGAATGTGAAGCGGAAGCAAGGACCTTCTTCAGAAGGTGGTAGGAAAAAAAGGAGGAGAAGGAGGAACTGTCAACACTAATAAAACTATCAAATCTTTTTTTTTTTAATTTCTTTATTATACTTTTAAGTTATGGGGTACATGTGCAGATCATGCAGGTTTGTTAGATATACACGTGCTTTGGTGGTGGTTTACTGCATCCATCGCTGCCTCATCTACATTAGGTATTTCTCCTAATACTATCCCTCCCCAAACCCCCCACCTCCTGCTCTTCCTCCCCTAGCCCACCTGCCCCCAGGCCCCAGTGTGCGATGTTCCTCTCCCTGTGAGAACTGTCATGAGAACAGCATGGGGTAAAACCACCCCCATGATCTGATTGCCTCCCACCAGCTCCCTCCCTCCACACATGGGAATTATGAGGATTATAATTTGAGATGAGATTTGAGTGGGGACACAGAGCTAAACCATGTCACCAAATCATTTGTGTGTGCATTAAAATTTGAGAAATGCTGCATTAAAGGATTATAAGAATAAAACCACACGTTACTTTATGTGCACAGAATTATGTTAGAAGTATTTAAATAGTATATGATATATACTAGCTTAAAATGTATAAATGTATGATTTCAATTAATGAGTAGAATTTAGCCACCATAATTACTATAAATTAGGGACAAGCTTTTCTGGATAGTCAGCAATTCACCTTGTGATCCGTGGCTTGGAATTTAGCAAGCATTAACTCCCTAAAGATCAATGTAGTTGGAAAAGCAATTGACATTGCTGCAGCAAAGTGTCCAAAAGGTGCAATCATCTAAGTCCTAATTTTGGGCATGGTCAAAGGTAAGATGGCATTGAAACACTCATCAACCAGGTAGAAATGACTTCCTTTAGGAAGTGTTAAATAGAGGAACTGGAAAAATGAGGAGGAAAATTTTTAGAATTAAAAAGCATCACCTACTGACATTAAATGTTTTAGATCTGCTGTCTACTTTAACACACATGAGAAAACCTGAGTAACAGCTGAATACTGCTAGGGGAGGAGGGAGAAGTATAATGATACTATAGGTATTCCCAGGACTTGTTTCTGGGATGTGAAGTTTCCTTCCAATCCACAAATGTAGGTGCCCAGTGATCACAACAGGACTATTAGATGTTAAGAGAAATTAAGACTGCAAACTAGCTGCAAATGACCAAATTCAGCACAGATACGTGTTTTGTTTATCATCACCATAATCTACTTTAGTGTTGGTTAATGTTAATGCTTTTAAGGTAGATCATGAAATAGTCAATTAAAAAAACTCAACCATCTCTCTGTTCATAGAGTTATATTTGTGTCCCTGGTCTCTATGGGAATTTGAGTTTGCAACTCTTCCAATTGTCAAGACTATGGAAATCAGAATCTCTAGACTTTAATTTCTTTTAATGACTTAATTTGTAATACTGTGCATTGCAGGTTGTTCTGTAGGCATTAGCCATAAAAGAGCTTTAAGTACTGGACTTATATTGCTGTTCTGTATAGTATAAAAATCAGAAGATTTGCAGATTTTTACTTTCCAGTAAACTTAGGGGCACAATTAAAAAAAAAAAAGAAACCTTTATGGATACATGGCCAGTGGAGCAAATTTCCTATTTAAGTTCAATCAATATATGCTCCCTTTAAAAAAAAATTGCTATTGTAGTTTCTCTTTAATGTTGACTGAGAAGGAAGAAGCAGGTGTCTCTCTACCTGTTTACTGCTGAGTTATTCTGTTCACTCCCAGAAATATAACCATGATGCTTTTTTTAACCTGAACATTGATTTTCATAATATATATACAGTGTTTGTTATGGAAGTATATTTGGCTCCTTTAACTTGTAAATATGTTTGTTATCCAGACTTAAATCTCCCCCCTTAAACTGTAAATGAATGCACCAGCCATGTGATCATTAATCCACTACTCTATTGATTCAGCGGGGCCTCTGTGCATCATCAAGATTGGCTTTCTACCATAGCTCTAGAAAAAATATTAAAGCTACTTCTGATCAATCTGATCCAAATACAAGTAGCCTCATTTTTCTCCAGGATTTTAGGAAGAATTAGAAAGAGGTACATCCAGATAAACCTCCTCCAGAAAAAAAGGTTTGGAAAGGAAAGGAGTAATCTAGCAGTGCCGGAAGCTGTTGTTGTTATATTTCCTAAGGCTCCCTCATCCTGTGATGAAAGAATTGTCTGCATAATCCTTTTTCTGTCTACCAGGAATGGTGCAGATGGTACCTGATGCTGTGACCCTGGCAAAGATTCATCGCCATTCTGGACTGATAGGACCATTGAAAGAAAATACAATCAAAAAGTGGTTCAGTCAGCACAACCATTTAAAGGCAGATTATGAAAAGGTTTGTCCTGATGCAGATCATTTTAAATAATGTACTTAAATACAAATTTGCTCTGGTTCATTAGATGTTCTTATTTGTAGAAATGTAAAGTAAGTGCACTTCACATTGTAATTCACTCAACCATCGGCCCATAATAATGACCCAGTTTAAATAATATATTAACTACATAAAAGTTTCTGTATTTTGTTTAGTTTCTGGGTGAAATTCCTCATTATCAATAAAGATTTTTGTTTTTTGCTCAGCTGTTTTCCTGACATCAATCTCACCCCAGAAACAATACCCCTTGAAATTACCTCCTTTAAGGAATCTCCAATTTCTATAAAAACCTCTTCTTCTCTTCGCAATATGTTTCTTCCGCCATTCTCTACTTTTTCATCTCCCATTTTCTTAATGGTTTGCAAAATGCAAAATAGAGTTTATGTAGATCATAATTTTACAAAATATACTGTTTTATTCAACTGCAAACATTTTTTCTTACAGTTTACTTTGTTTTGGTATCTGTCTTACAACGTACAGTTGTGCAGGTTCTGCCCTATATCAGGGATCCTGGCTAAGGAGATGAGTATGGATAGAACCAGGCCTTGTTCCACTTGCCAAGCTATGATCTGGTACAACTGGGTCCCCCTAGAGGCAGGAGCACCTATTTGCTAATTCATGCAAAAGTGCACCATTTGTACTATCCTGTGCACTGAAATCCCCTTATTCTGAGAAATTCCTTCAACCTGGGTAAACTGCGATGATTGGTCACCTCTATTCCACACTTCTATAACATTGTGTTGGAGCAAAATATAAGTCCTACAGGCCAAATAATAAATAATTCAATACAATTAACTTGAAATCTACTTTTTAGTTGTTCTCATAACTTCAGTTTTGCATTAATCCTTGTGGTTATGTTGTATGAGGTGTTTCCAAATACATTGCTCTTCACAATCACCATGTGAAGGACATATTTTATTATTTTCACTTTATAAGTGAAGAACATTTGGATTGACAAATTCAGTGACTCACTTAGGGACATGGGAGACCTAGAACTAAGGTATTCTAGCATGCATCCTGGTGACCTAGACTTCACTGCACCAAGGCAGCCCCACCATGCTAGGAGACCCATAACCTAGGCCCAACCAATCATTCATGGTTATACTACCAAGTTGATGAAATGATGTATACCCAGGAGACCATTTTGGAAACAGTGTGTTTTTGGAAAGTAACCTCTGTTCACTAGAGAACATAAGCACAGATTGACTTAGTGATAATCTGCTTCCAGCCACACAGGCATTCACTGATACACACACACACACACACACACACACACACACACACACATATATATATAGTAAACCATGAAAATATATATATATATGTGTGTGTGTGTGTGTGTATAGATGTATTTGTATATATGTGTATATATGTGTATGTATGTATATATATGTGCATATAGATGTATTTGTATATATACAAATATATATATGCATATATGTATATATGTGTATACACACATATATGTATATACACACATATATGTATATATATAGAATGTGTATATATGCATATACAAATGTATATATGGAATGTGTATATAGGTATATATATGTATATGTGTTTAATATATGTTTAATACACATATATATGATATATATGTATATATACACCATATATAAACATTCCATATATGTGTGTGTATAGATGTATATATGTATTACATATGATATTTATTATACCAATATAATACAATGTATATGGTGTATATACATATATTATACCATTATATATGTTATATATGGTATATACATATATTATACCATTATACCATTATATATGGTATAATATAGGTATATACATCATATACATTGTATTATACCATATATAATGGTATAATGGTATAATATATGTATATACAGCATATAATATATGTATACACACCATATATGGTATATATATACATGTATTATACCATATATAACATATATATGGTATATATATACCATATATGTATTATACCAATATATAATACATATATGGTATATATATTATATATATACACACACACACATATACACACACATATATACAAACATATATATACACATATGTGGTATATATGTGTAATACATATATTAAGATATGTATATATAAAATACATATATGAAATATATGTGTATTAAACATATATATACCATAATATATTATATATTGGTATAATATATATATATATATACCATATATGTATATATATACCATATATATGGTATATATGGTATATGGTATGTATGGTATATATATGGTATATATACACATATATGATATATATATTATACCAATATATAATACATTATGGTATATATATGTTTAATACACATATATTTCATATATGTATTTTATATATACATATCTTAATATACATATGTATTACGCATATATACCATATATATGTATATATATACACACATGTATATATACACACATATATATTATATGTGTGTGTGTATATATACATATATGGAATATATATATACATATGCACGTATACTATACATGTATATATAATATACACATATATAATATATATGATACATATATGGTATTAGTCATATAATACCTTATGGGTATACATATAAAACACATATATATGATATATATGTGTATTTTATATATCATCTATAATATATACACACACACATATAAGTGGAGAACATTTGGATTGACAAATTATATATATTACATATATTTATTATATGTATAATAAATTTATGTGTGTATATATATAGATATTATACCAAACACCTTCAGACATCAACTATATTGATGAACTATTTGTAAAAAGACACATAAAACATTATAGATTTCTCAGTATAGCTTTCTCTGTATTCCAAAATTTCAACTATTAAATAGTTGATGTTTTAAGATTTATTTGGGAATAGGCAATATTAGGTGATGTTGTGATATTGTTCTTCCTTCTTTTACTTTGAAAAATATCATCGAATATTATATGTTTGATGTATCAAAAAATCATACTAGAAAACCCCTCTAGTAAACCACAAAAATTAGCTCCATCTGAATGAAGGAGATATTTTCCCCAGTTTCAATGAAAACATTAATCTATTAGGCTAAAGAATGGTTGTTTCATATTCTTCTGTAGCAGATCAAGAATCAGCCGTTTAACTGTACCCTTCTGTCCACTGAGATGTAGACATTTTTTCTAATTACGTAATTTTGCTTTCTATCATTTAGTATTTATGATTACCTCTGATGCTAATGCATTTCCTCATTTTTGTTATTATTTTTGTGTTATTGTTTTTCAATGGATTAGGCCTTGAGGAATTTTTTCTACTCCTGTGCTGGCTGGTGTGTGGTAACATTCATCCTGGGAGTATGTGACCGTCACAATGATAACATCATGCTGACAAAGTCGGGACACATGTTTCACATTGATTTTGGAAAATTCTTAGGTCATGCACAAACATTTGGAGGGATAAAAAGGTCAGTGCACAAATGTTTATTACAGTAATTAGGCAATGTCCTAAGCAATATGTATAACATGTAATGGCATAGAAGCCCTGCTGATGACTTACTCCCATCTCTCAAATCCCCCAAGGTAATATAAACATTATAATATACCTAAAAAGATTGAAGAAAAATTTTAAAGTCAATTTTTAATGCAACAAATTTGATTTCCTCAAATTGGTAGTAGACTAAACTGGCCTTCCCCCATGAGAAGCAACTAATCCTGTTTTCATCTGCATCATTTGAAATAATATTTTTGTTTCTTTATGAACCATGAATGGACAATGAGGTATGAATTGATAATCTCAAAACATCTGATATATTGCTCATAGCAAATCACCACTGGTCTACACATAAAAATACTAGCATACTTCCCACACTGAATTAGCCTTACATCATTCCACAGATATTTAGGGAGTATCTAGTATTCAAGGATACAAGAGCAAACAAGACAGATACAAACCCTGATCTCTTTCTAGTATGGATGAAAGACATTAAACAAGTTTATAAGCAAAGAAATGACATGAGAAAATGAGAAGTTATTTTAGAAAACTAAAGCAGAGAAATGGAATAGAAATTAACTGGCGTGGTGGTACTATTTTAAAGAGACTCTCAGAAGACATGACAAAAAGCTGTGTTCGTATGACCACCTCATGGAGATCTGTGAGAATAGTATTCTAGGTAGAGAGAATAGCACATATAATAGCAGTGAGCCCAGAAATAAGCCTGGCATGTTCCAGTGACAAGACCTGGATTCTGGAGATGGCATGGAGAGGGCAGGCAGTAGGAGGTAAGGGTGAAGAGTTTGGTGGAGGCCCAATCAGGTAGGGTACAGAGGGCATATAGAATGTGGCTTTTATTTGTTAAGATCAGGGGAAACTGTTGGATTTAAGTGGTTTTCAAAAGCTTCCTCCTGATACCCTGTATAACAGAGACCAGTGAAGAGACTACTGCAATAAAGTGAGACCAGTAAAGGTAGAAGTAATAAAAACTGACAGATTCAGAATATATTTTGAAGACAGAGTCACAGGACCTGCTAATTGATTGGACATTGGCTTTGATTAATGAACTGTAGGAGGAGCACAGAAGGTCAGAGAAGAAAAGAAAATATTCAAGGGTGATACCTAGATGGTTTTATCTTAGCAAATGACTGAATAATTATATTATTTACTAAAATAAAGAATGCTGATGGATGAATAGGTTATGTTTCATTTTATTTGAGCTGAAAGTAAGGAAATCAGAGGTTGGAGACTAAAAATCTTTAAAAATATATTTCATATTAGGGTAGAAATGGGATCAAACCATTCCAAAGACTAATCAGTCAATTTTACCTAAGAACAGCCCCTTAATATAAGAAATAATAGTACTTCTTACAAAATAATGTGATTGAATTTATACTAGATGGCCATAACCTTGCATTAAAATGCCAACATAGACTAACTCCTTTTTCGTAAAAGCATACAAATGGATTATTTTACTTTTTGTTACTTTTAATACATTGCTTTCTTTAATAAATAGCCTCAGAAAAATTCACCACATATTCATTCACTTCTTTTATTTTATTTTATTTTATTTTTTTAAGATGGAGTCTCGCTTTGTTGCCCAGGCTAGAGTGCAATTGTGCAATCTCTACTCACGGCAACCTCCACCTCCAGGGTTCAAGTGATTCTGCTGCCTCACCCTGCCAAGTAGCTGGGACTACAGGTGTGCACCACCATGCCTGACTAATTTTTGCATTTTTAGTAAAGACGGGGTTTCGCCATTTTGGCCAGGCTGGTCTGAAACTCCTGGCTTCAAGTGATCCGCCTGTCTTGGCCTCCCAAGGTGCTGGGATTAGAGGCGTGAGCGCCCAGCCTTCATTCACTTCTTAGATGTCCACTGGGAATGGTCTGCATGCCAAGGACTGTGATAAACGTTGGGGATACAAAGATAATATACACTTACCATCTCAATTAGGGATACTCTTTCAAGCACTGCAAATAAAAACACATAAATGATTATTACGCACATTATTAAACACATAAAATGTTATATAATGGCAGAGATGGAGAGATGTACAGACCATGAGAATGTCATAGAGGAGGGATACCTAGCTTATGAGGGACAAATGTCAATTAACATACTTGAGTGTTTATATATATATATATATATATATATATATTCCTTACTCATGTAACAGTTATTCCCTGAACTCCACCTTTTTCTAGAAATTCAAAGATTCGGTTTTGACATCTTTATTTTTTTTTAATTTTGATGAATTGTACACGGGCAATTTGGAGTACCCTTATTGATTTATTCCACTGGCTTCTGTGTTGTTCATGTGAGTGATTTAAAATGAACAAAGATATTTCAGTTCTATAGAAAAATATCCAGTTTGGAGACATAAAAAAGCAAAGAAAAGGTTATTAAAACAATATGGTAAGTTCAAAATAAAAAAGAAGAAGAAAAATTAAAAAAAAAAAAACAATATGGTAAGTTCATATACCAGGGTCTGTAGAGAAGATCGAGCTCCAGTTTGGTTGCCTGTTGATGCTAGAGCAGCTACCACTACTTCTAGAGTTTGGCAATTTTAAACTTTTCTTAGGCAGCATCATAAGTAAATTTAAAATGTGCCCAGCATAGAGCCACATTCATAATGGGTTCTTAATATTTTTTGCTGAATTAAGCAGCTAATAAACCAAACATCGGCCATTCAATAATTATTGATTGGATGAATGAAAATAAAGTTGCTACTGTCTTCTTTTGAGAATTTTAGTTATTAACCACCAGCTAAGGAGGCCAACTGCAGCTCCATGATCCATTTGGATTATTATTTCTAAGATTTTATGTCTACTGGTGAGTGGCTCATTGGCAGTGTTTCCCTGAATTACTTTCTCAATGCTGATACTTTTGCTCTGAGTTTGTTTAATGGTAAAACAGAACCATACCTATTACACCATCTTTTGAGTTGTAGGAAGCATCTAATATTCCTCCTCCAAGCCTCTTTCAGTTGTTTCTGGAATTCACTGAATGTTGTTTTGTTGGACAACTGACTTCTTCCATCCTAGGTTCATTGATTGTTCTTACTGATTCTTAGGCATACAGAAGTCCTTTTACAAGTCTTATAGATTCTGTAAGTAGGACCTTTCTAGTCCCCCAGGATAAATGAACATTTGTATTTGTCTCACACTTATTACATTATGGACCCCATTTTTAGAGAGAAACCTGGACCCTACCTAGCTTCTGTACACATACTCAGATGTATTAACCCCTTTATGCTGGAGGCTGCAAATTTTTGTGTGAAAAATTAGACGTTGGTGATGACCTTGAGCAATAGGATATAAGTAACTCCCACAGGCTTAGGGTTCCAGTAACGGAACACCAGGCAAAAATGGGTTTAATAATGCCCCCCATAATATTCAAAGCCAGATATATAAATCATGCCCTAGGACTGTCATAATGTCCCATAGTCTGGCAAGATCATATAATGCTCCAACTAACAATAACCCTAGGTCATCATTTTTAATGTAAAATGCTGCACCCACTGGGAGCATAGAGTTTATGTACAGATACATGTGTTTCTAGTATTGTCTATTCCTTAAAAACATGGAAGGGAAAAGCATTTGTATAATTTTTTATGGTTTACAAAATATTATTAACATATATTAACTAATTTATTGTGTATTCACTAACACAGCAAAAAAGGTGATATTTTTATAAGAAGAGTCTTGAGAAAAATACTGATTTTTCACTGGGCTGCTGCCCTTTTATGCTCATGCTTATATCACCATTCCAGAACATCTCACACTAAGCCTCTGTGTTACTCTGTTTAGGGAATGTCACAGATATTGATCTCTCCTGGTTCTTGAATTAAATTGAGTTAGCAAAGCCACTCTCTTATTTGGAATCTATGCCCAGGTATCCCTGAACAATTCCTCTGAATTCAGTTATCCAGGAATCTGGAAATTCTATTTCGATGCTTAGACCAACTCTGGGGCTCCCATAAACTTTCAAACTTCTAAGAGAAGAAAAATAAATCTTAGTTATGATTATGAAGGATTTTACATCCTGCATATAAGCAAACAGTCCCTTTTTAATGGCTTTAGTGGTGAGACTAGATAAAGAAAATTTATGCCATCAGATTAAATCAAAGGACAACTGAGATATTTCTTATGATTCTGGGGAAAATTTGGCTAATCTTACAGTGGAAACCATGAGGGACTTCTCCAGCTCTCTGAAACCTATTGGTTTTTCTTTTGAACTACTGCTTAATTCTTATCTTTTTATTTTTGAGACAGGGTCTTACTCTGTCTCAAAGGTTGGAGTGTAGTGGCACAATCATGGCTCACTGCAGCCTCTACGTACCTGGACTCAGGCAATCCTCTTACCTCAGCCTCCCAAGTAGCTGGGATCACAGGCATGCATCACCATACCTAGTTCACTTTTTTATTGTTTTGTAGAGATATGATCTCACCATGTTGCCGAGGCTGGTCTTCGACTCCTGGGCTCAAGCAATTTGTGCCTCTGCCCAAAATCCTGGAATTATAGGCATGTGCCACGTGCCTGACCTATCTTCACTTTTAAATTTTCTTTCCCCAAGATGCAAATTAAAGTGGTTAACAAAATTATGTATCCGCAATTTTCACTCAATTCCCCTTATAGCAATCATTTCTACACAGTAATTTTTCATTACATAAAAGATTTCACTATAGTAATAAACTCAGAATTTCAACTCAATAATTTCTTGATGATGACATGCTCTTATAAAGCAAGAGAAATTAAGAAAAGCATTTATTGCTGATGTTTGTTGGTCTCCTAACTCTGTGTTTCATACTTTTATTTTTTAGACTAGGCTATATTTTCATATTCTACATGGCCTTTTACTTTACCAATACTAGCCTTGTATTAATTGTTTTTTGTAGCTTTCCTTCTAGATAATTTTAAAGGGCAATATGACCAGTAGTTAAGGTCAGGTACCCTAGAGATAGACTATATGT